CTTTTGTGTTTTTCATCACCTGCGTTCCCTTTTCCCTCTTGATTTCTTTGCAGGTGGTTGTAGAAGAAAAAGAAAAATCCAAATCATGTATTCAGACAATACGGAAGGTTGACAGCTGATAGAAATGGATGGTGGAAACTGTAGCTACTCAACTGTGGGTTGTCAGAATCTGATTTCTTGTCCAACCTAACTTCCAGTTGTTTGTGATTCTCTCTACAATATCTTCTAACCAGCCTTCCTTGCTCTGTGAGGTTGCCATATATTTAGGGGGTTCTTAAAATTTTTTGGCAATGCATATCGATTTCTTTTTTTGTAGGAGGATTTAAGAAATAAAGAAAGTAAGAATAAAGTGATCAAACAGATGCCAGAAGTTATAAAATAAGGTAGGCAATGAAAATGACTATAAGGGTGGATAAATATTCAGTATGGGGTCTTCATTCGAGGTTGATTTTTCAATTATACCTCTTAAGTGTCTTTCCAGATCAATCTATCTGGGAGGTAGATTTGAATCATGTAATCAAATCTGATGCTTCAGATTGATTAGGTAATTTCGATGATTGCTATGCAGGCACCGAAAACTTTCCCCCCAAACTGAATTGGAAGACTGAATCAATGATTAAGTGATTTGGGTGGCCAGATTGAACCCATTTTTCCAAATTGAATCAGAATCCTGGTTTGAATCAGGTTGCAACACTGAATCAAATAGATGATGGTTCAGATCAGATTTTGCTTGATTCACTCACCCTTGACAATTAGTGTCTTTAGGAAGTGTAGTGAACAACAGAGTTCTATTGATAGTGAGGCTCAGAAACATGCAGACTATTATCTCATTATTCTTCCCTGGAGTGAACAGTTCTAAGTGTTTAGCTTGTACTAACTCCTTTAACATACAAACAAAACTGACTGGCTTTATAATAATGGCACATTTAAAAGATGCAAAACTCTTCAAAATATCTTTTAAGGACTTTGTACTTTTATGCCAGTGTGTGGCTGGTGGAACAGGAACCCAGGCAAGGAGATTAATATCTTGCTAGAAGGCATCCTGTTGTGTTTCTGACAAAGAGACACTTCTCCTCAGGAGACTGGTAGCTCCTGTCTCACACCCTTGAACCGTATGTTGCCCCAGGAATAGTTTCTAAATTAAATATTTTGCAATGCTGCGTTAGAAGGTCTGTGCTTTTCTGTCACAGATAAATACACATTTCACCTGCCTTAGAAGAAAAGTGATAAATTGCAAGATAACATTGGTGGTCTGGCCCTTGATGACGCACTTAAAAAAAAAAAAGCATTGTTCATGCATAATTAGGGTGATCAAATGCAGAGCTGGAGAATATTCCCCTTCATTTTTTTTATTTTTTTTATTTCATTTTATTTTATCTTTTGGAGAGGGGAATAATTACTTTTACTGGATAGTTTTGAATGATTCCAAGTGCATAGTTCATTTGTATAGACAACTGAGCATCACTACATGAGATATTAGCAAGTGGCAAGAAATATGCAAGAAGGAGTTGAAATACCCCATTTGAACAAATCAGTTCTAGTTTCTCTTCAGATCATACAGATCTTTTGCCTTTAACATTCCCCTTCTTTCAATAGGTGTGACTTAATAGAGGAATTTCGGGGTGGGGAGGGATTTTGCTTCACCTTGCACAAAAAGCTGACCTACTCAATATTCCTCTTCAGCAACATTATGAAGGACAGAGGACTTTTCCATTTCCAATGAGGCCCATGTATTTCTTCTAAATGTGATACCTGGAAAAGAAGACATTCTATTCCTATATCCATGCTTAAAAGGCTGGTCTTACCAGCAGGTGAAATTAGAAGGAAGCAGTTGCTTACCTGTTGTCAAACTGTTTCACCTCCAAGGTTGTGGGTCACAACTCCAAAGGTGCTTTCCCTGTTTCCATTCAGGCTGTTAAGCAGCAGCAAAACTTGATCCATCTTCCAAGGATGTTATGTTCCGTCTGTGTAATAAAGCCATAAAAAAACAAGGGAGGCTTGTCATCGCTCAGAGACTGATGATCAGGAAATAGCTATGATAACAGTACAAGCAGGTAACTATTTGAGTTGAGTACATGTATCACCTCCCACCTGGTTGTTCTTAAAGTGACACAGTCCTTTTCCCCCCCAGAAATGCCAAACCATTATCATATTTCAAGCTGCTTCCACTTTGCTTCTTTCTCAAGGTTTCTACAGTGTCCTAATGATAATAGACTGGACAAGTGGTTGCTCCACCATATAGAGTTTGACAAGAAAGACAAATGAACCATTTGTACATTAAAGCCCATTGGCCTTGGAAACGGTTTGGGTGTTGTAAAAATAATTACTGCTGCAGTGATTAAGGTCACCCTGGGTGCTTGGCTCCAATTACTTTTCAGGCAGTGTAGAAGAGGAAAGGGAGACAGCTATAGAATTAGCTGAACTTTGGATTCTGCAATCACTTGGTTTCTGATTTCTAACAGACAATAGCATGTAATAGAAGGATGGGGAACACGTTTAACTGCATTTGAGGGATACACATTAGCAAGAGGTCATGTCCATTAATATACAGGGGAAAATGTTGCAGCCCATGGTGCACCCCCCAACTCACAGCCCTCTCGAGTTTTCCCAGAATTGGTACAGCTGAACATTTTCATATTTTGGGGCTTAAGGCACATTTCCTTAACTTTAAGGTACCCATTTCCTTTGAGTAAAAGCCAGGGTAGTGCCCTACCTGATATACATGTGACACCCCGACATCTCCATTCCATTGCTAATGGCTGCTGTTCTACTGATCAGCATACCTATCAATGAGAAATAAATATGCTTTATTCTGTAGAAATTAGTTGAAATTCCCAGAAATGGTGGTAAAACCAGAACAAGTCACAAAACATCCTTGAATGGTCTGAATTAGCTGGTTTACAAAAGCATCTGGGTATGTTTTGTGAGATAGTTATTTGATTTCAGAACTGCCTTCTTTGGAAAGCAACTGCCAATTACTTACAATGTAGGTTTGAAGTTTCTTGCGAGACATATATGGATCCTCCAAGTTACAGTGCTCCTAATTTCATCAAGCATTGCACGGGAGCTTTCTAGAAGTGGTGCAATGTAACTATGCAGAACAGATTATAGCCTTATGAACAAGCTTGCATGTATACTTTAAAAAATGACTAGATGTGTTCCCCAAGCCTCTCACAGTTGCAAGAAGCAAAGGTGTTTTTTATGCTTCAGTCCTGAAGATCACCAGTAAGATGAGAATAGATACAGCTGGCTTCATGCTGACCTTTAGGCATTGTACATTCTGTGTTTTGTTCAGAAGATTTGTTGCTTCCATAGAGGCTGAGGCAGGTAAAGTAGACTTCAACTTGAACATTTCTAGTGCCTTTTAGAGTCTTCGATACCTGTAAGTGCAAGGTATCTTGCAAGATCAGGGTGCTGACTGGTTGGGAATGAACATTTTATATTTATCAGTGTTTAGGTTCCTTTCCACTTAGTTTGAGAGGACATTCTGCCTGATACACCTGCTTTAGGACTTAGATGGAATTCCCAGCATGAAAAGAAAAGCTCATTCATAGGATGATCTCCTGACTCATTAAGAATGCCTATCAGTTCTCAGATTCTGGAGGTGTATTAATTGTAGAAATGGTTGCACACATATACACACATGCATCACCTATCAGCCACTATCAAGACAGAGGGAGATGGTAAACAAACTGAAGCGAGAGCTGAGCCCACTTCTGACTGTGTAGCTATGAAAGTCCCTGGGGCAAAGAGAAGTTAATACTGCCTACACTGGAAAACAAATATTCTGCCTCTTCAATAAAAGATAGACACCAGGATTGCCAATGCTAATAATTTGGCATATCTGTGCAAATACTGCCGTAGACACCACTATGTTGAAACTAGAAATGGGACTATTTAAGATGGCAACTACCTTGAACAAACAGCTGTAAATCCTAATTCGAGTAAACAATTCAACCTCAGACTAAATGTAAAGAAGATATATTTGTCTTGAAATAAACGTGGTGTTGAACTGACCTTGGTAGAAGTGAAATGCCCCATTGGCAACCTAGATACAGCTGCACAGATGGGAAGACATCAGTTGACCTATCAAGAAACAGAGGATCTGAAGATAAGGTGGTCGCCTTGCAATGTCAGACCATTCTAAAAGAGTCTGATATTCTGGATCCATTTCTTTCAGGGTTTTGGCCTGGACAGGGTAGGGAAACTGCTTTGAACACTTTTGCTGGAAACTGGATAGGGGAGTATGGCACCACTAGGTCACTTGGACCTCTTGGTGGGTTTTGAGGCCATCAACCATGGTTCCATCCTGGACCACCTGCTGGGATTAGGCCTTGGGGGCCCAATTTGCAATAGTTCTAGTCCCTTATCAGGCATTATCCACAATATGATACTGGGGAACTGCTATTCAACACCTTTCTGAATTTCACCATTGACCTGTGGTGCTAACCGTGAGACTTCCCACCTTGCAGTGTAGACTGGAAATACTTAATCCAAGGAAGAAGACTTTAAGAGCTCTCGTTAATAGCATTTATTAGAAGGAAGGTCAAGATTACAACACAAGAATTCTAGTAAGTACCCTATTTTCCAAAGAAATACCTATATTTAGGCACATTAAGGCAGCAAAGGTTTTCCCTGTTTCCTTGTGCTTTTTCAGAAGCTTGCCTAGTTCATGAAAGCAGGGCAGTTTCCATTTATTCTCTGTTTTGATAATGCTCATTCCTTTTTTCAGTGTGAGAAATAATTCTCAGACTGACTTATCACCACTGACCCATTGTGTTTCAGGGTTTCATCATGCCTCCCAAGCTGTTCAGCATCTACGTGAAACCTTTGGGGGAGATCATCTGGAGTTCTGCAATGAAATGTTGACAGGCATGCAGATGATACCCAGCATTTGTTATCTTTGGACACTGCCTAAGTTTGATCACTGGCTGGAAGAGAGAGAACTAGCTCAAATTAAATCCAGACAAAATAACATGCTGCTGGTAAATATCTGGACTTGGGTCTCATCCCATGCTGGATGGGGCTGCAGTTCTCCTGAAACAACAGGTTTGCTGCCTGGGAATGCTCCTTGGCCCCCAATCTGGACTGGGTTTAGTAAGAAGAGCATTCGCACAGTGACATCTGGTGCATCAGCCGTGTCCCTACCAAAGTCTGTTATTATAGCAGTGGAGATCCACACCTTGGCTATGTTCCTTTGGACTACCGAGATGCCTCTTACGTGAGGCTTCTCTTGAAAAACATCTGGAAGTGCAAACTGTGGCATATGATCATATGATACTTATTCTGACAGATCTTCACTACTTCCTAGTTGCTTCTCAGGTCCAATAAAAGTGTGTCAGAACCTGCAGCAATGGAAGGAATAGCCAAAAGAGGACTGATTTATTGGGGATAATAAATGCTGGGTTTGCTTGCTTTGATTCTGCCCATTGTAACGGGTGGGGTGGGGTGGGGGACTGAAAGAAGACAGAGCCGGTGTCATCTCGAAGGCTGGGAAGCAGAGGTGTTATCAGGGTGAGAAATTCACAAGGCCACGACTCAGTGAGAAAGAAATCTGGCACCAAAGAAGAAGGGGGAGTAGAGGGGGTAAAAGTAGAGGGAAAGTTACGCGGGCTTTAGTTTTAGCAATGCTTCGCTTAGAGCTGCATGTACCATCCAACAAAGGAGATTTTATCTGAACCAGGCCTGGTTTCATGAGAATTCTTCTGAATTGGGATTTGGACATTGTGGACTTGACAGTGTGGATGTTTTTACAACCTTCAGTGCCTCTAAGGGATTGCCTCTTCTTTAGGAACCCGCCCAATTGTTAAGGTCTCCAAGTCAGGCCCATCTGAAGATGTCCTGACTGGGGAATCCTAGAGGTATCATTTCTGTTTCTGAACACACAACCCTTTCAGAAGGAGCTTGGCTTTTGTGCACAGGACACAAATGAAAGCAAGGGAATTGCAAGTATTTTTTATTGATTTTCCTTTTCTTTTTTGACAGAATAATCACAGTTGAATCAAATTACCTTTTAAGGAGCATTTGATCATTACATTTTGCTGATGTTAACATCCCTTTCTTATATGGAGCTTTGAAAATAAACCCGCACGCTTAAGATTTGTGGTGGGGTTGGGCTTAAAATTCACAGACGGTGAGGCGATATGTATCGCACGTTTTGTCATTCCAAGTGCCATCGCGGTACATTTCCACGCATTTCTCAGATCCTGAAGGTTCATTCTTATACCAGTTGGTAAAATTCAAAGAATCCCCATTCCGGAAATGGAATTTCCCAGGATCATTGCTTTCAATGATGCCCAGATAGGCATAAGTATTATAGTGTCCCACAATCCTCTGAATTGCTTTGTTCTCGTTCAGGTTTCTTGGTGATGCAATGGAACCATGAGCTGCTTGGCAAGTTGCTTCTGTTTCCTCAAACACAGATGTCTTCCCGGTAGAGGCAAAGAGCTTATCACCAGCAATTGCAATCTTTCCATACAAGGTCAAAGCTGAAAAGGAATTCAGAAACCTTGCTTATTTCATCCAGATGGCCCCAATCCTGCCAGCCTTTTGTAAAGCTTTGAAGACCCATGGAG